AACTGCATATGTGTCAGTGTCATGGCGGATGATAACGAAGTTTGGGTTGTTTTCTAGCACAAATCAAGCCTATGTGGACATGTGCATATATGCGAAAAACAAAACTTAATATTGGTCACCAATATAGAAACGGAAACGATGAGATCACCTTATATAAAAAATACTACGACATAGCTAGTGAAGCTGTCACAATTATGAACATTTGAATGTTCGTACATCACATAATCGTGCACTTTATAAGCACAAAAGTGTGCATTCTTATATCAATTATCACATAACATAGTTGATAGTTCCATATTAAAGTGTTTGGGAAGTGAAGTATGATCAAGGATCGGAATCCGCATCGACCGTATCGAAGTTACAGCTCCTGCGTGCTGAGCAAGATCTTTGATACACTCATGTACAAGATCTACAACTATTTTTGCCGATTGAATCACCATAACATACAATTCCTTAAAAGTTTTGTCAGATTGAGGTGGGGATTAACCTTTTGGAAGAAAAAATAGTCTCATAGTCAAGTCTGATAATGGTTACTTTCTATGAAGCACAGATACTTCGCTAGGGTGCCGTATCGGCGTATGGGAAGCGTTCTGTATCCGATACTCCAGGATACTCGTACCGTACGTTCCTAGTCCGTATCTGTAATTTTAAAAAGTTTCCATTTTTTGGTAATTATTTTAAAATTCCGGATACCCGTATCCTGACGGATACGCGTATCAGCTTTAAAAAAATCTTCTAAAAAAACTTTTTTTAAAAACACCCAAACTTTACATAATAAAATTCTTAAATAAAGAAAACCAAAAAGTAATTTTTACCTTGCTTTTATGTGATACACGGCTAATGGGTCTTTTTCTAATTCACTCATCCTCCTATCTCTAATTCTAATTATCCCGGGAAATTAATAGCTCTAACGGAAATATGTATTAGAACTTTTAAAATATTGTTTGCTATCTTCACTATTCTAGAACTTTGGGTACTTTCACTTTTAATTTCAAAACTGTAGTTGTTTGACATATTTCTCATTTTTTATTAATGACTTATTGAACATATTTATATTTCAAGATGCGTTGGGGTATATGTGATAAAATATGAATTTATTTCTAAGTATCTCGAAAATGTAAAATGCTTCAATGTCATGAATGGGTAAGCATCAAAGGATAATATATGTATTTTTTTTTCTAAAAAATTGTTTTTTGACTCCCTCCTTCCCTTAAAACTTTGTCATCTTTCCTTTTTGGCATGTCCCAAAAAACTTTGTCACTTTCCCTTTTAATCAATATTTTGTGGCTCCTCTTATTTCTCTCTCCTCTGCACAAACCTCAATCACACAGTTTTAACTTTATTATTCTCCGTGCACAGTCAAACTTGACAAAGTTTTAAGGGATGGAGGAAGTAATATTTATAAATATATCCCTATAACTTTTAATATTTATAAATACACCTTTATAAATTTTAATATTTATAAATATGGCCCCGTATCCGTATCTTACTTTTTTATTTTATTTTATCGTATCCCCGTTCCCATTTCCGCGTTTCCGCGTACCCGTATGGTTTTTTTTTTTTTTGAAAATCAAATAACCATTCTATTGATAATCAGATCTTAAAACGAAAATAACAACTAAAAGCCAAAGAATTGCAATCATAGCATTCAATACCACACTAGGGGGAGACAAAGAACAAAAACGCCAAATAAAAGCAGGTAAATTATATCCATCCGGGTGTACGTACATCCGGTATTTTTGTAAATATACCTCTGAGTCAGCATGTTCTCTCCATAATCTTTCCTCTTCCGGTGCTATCTTCTTTTCTTCGCCCGCCTTCCACTTTTTTTTCTTTTCTTCGCCCGCCTTCCACTTTTTTTTCTTTCTTCCGCCACCTTCATGTTTTCTTTCTTTTCTTCCGCCTCATCCGTTCTCATGGTTATGTTTACTTTTATCGTTTTTGTTTTTTTTATTTTCTTTACTTTTAAGTGGTTGATTTCACTTTCTTTTGTTTTGTCTTTTTTTCTTTTACTTCTTTTCCTTTCTTTGTTGTTTACTTCTTTCTTTTTTCATATAATATATAGCGAGCACTGTAAATGAGTTTTACCTTAAACTCAAATGAGTAAAACGCCTAAAAATGAACATACACAAACGAGCTTTTGAATTTTTGAATACTCATTTTGTAAATTATGTATGTTCATTTAGTATCTCTATTATGCTCATTTTTTAAATGTCTTAGCAATGCACATCTCAAAAGTCTCATATTACATTATTAGATTTACATAAGAGTTGACTATAGACACGAGACCACAAGTCATTATGCTCAATCACAGATTCTAATACTCAATAACGGGGATTTAATGCTCACTGAAAATGTCTTGATGCTCAACGAATAAAACATACAATTTTCATATCAATGCTCATCTTGTAAGTTTCACATGCTCATTTGTATAGGTCTGATGCTCATTAATAATTCATTAATGCTCATTTAATAGAAGTCATGATTTTCATCAATCTCAATAGAGGAGTTTTGATGCTAAATGAAAATGTTGTGATGTTCAACCAACAAAGCAACTAACAAATTCATTAATACTCATGTTGTAAGTTACATTTTCTAAATGTCATATAAATGCATTTTTTAAAAGTTTCATCTTATGATAGACTCCTAATACTCAACATAATATGTTTGATGCTCATTAAACGTTCATTATTACTCATTCACAAGAAACTATGATTTTCATCTCAATATCAGATGTTTGATGCTCAATTAAAATGTCGTGATGTTCAACTAACAAACCTTACAATAAAAAATAACAACAAGAAAGTGAATTAGAACATATGAAGCAGAGATCACGATTCTAAATATTAGACTCCTAATACTCAACAGAATAGGTCGGGTGCTCATTAAAAGTTCATTATTACTCATTCTCCAGAAGTCGTGATTTCCATCTCAATAGTAAAAGTTTGATGCTCAATTAAAATGTCACGACGTTCAACTAACAAACCTTACAATTTTCATATCAATGTGCACTTTGTAAGTGATGTATGTTCATTTGATACTGATATTATGCTCATTTTTAAAATGTCATATCAATGCATATTTCAAAAATATCATATTACATTACACTCACATATTGAAATTAGTAGGAGTGCATTTTAGATATAATTTAATAAGTTTGTATAGCAGAAAAAAAATATAGAAGATATGAAGCAGAGATCGTGATACTCATTATTAGCCTCATAATACTCAATACAATATGTGAGATGCTCAACAAAACTACATTATTGCTCATTTAGCGGGAGCCATGATTTTTCGGTTAAATTACAAAACTGCCACCGAAAAAATAGGTTGTTTTATTTAAATGGACTGTCTTTTTTAATTGGGCCTTTTTTGTGGGCCTTCCGTTGGATTCATTTAATTCAATTCAAACTGGGTTATTACAATTGGACTGAAGCTTACAATTTTTTTTTTAAAAAAACACGGATGTACGGCTCTCACCCATACATCCGGGTGTACGATATACGTTCTCATAAAAGCACTTATGTTCGCTAACTCTGCAACAATGTAGACTCATACTGCAGTATGTCTGCTCATGCTACTCATGGGTCCGGCTTGACCAGCCACCGAAAAGAAATTATTGAACTTACCGATTTTTCCAGCCACCGGTAAGGAGCCAAGTGCAGAAATTGTTCTGGTTTGACCAACCACCGGAAAGAAAGCAATCCATCCAATGTCATCTTCCTGGATCGGCGGTGGTTCAGGAGGGGGGCGATCGGCCTCTATATCGATATAGAAGAAATCCTGATTCATGATTGATAAAGAAGCCAGTACAAACCATTTACTAGCACACAAGAACACCCGACCGATGATGGCGGCAATATAGATCTGGGGAGCGACACTTCGTCACCGAAAATAATATCTCTAGACAACATTAAGAAATAAACGTATAAGATAAAACTGAAAATACTGATTAAACTAGAGAAGGAGGGGACTAGGGTTTCCCTTCCCCGCTCCTCTCTCCGCACAACTAGCTATGTTGTAAAAACCGGACCGGAGGGTGACCTGGACAGATGACTGGGTCACGGGTCAACCCGGACCCGGCGAGTCAACCCGGTCAACGACCGGTAAACCCGGTCAACAACAATACAAATAATTAATTTTAATTATATAAAGGATTAAATTCTTAAATAGAAAAAATTATATTCCTTCACAATTTAATAATAATAATAATAATAATACAATATAAGCAATCTAAAAAATACTATTGTATTTAAGTAGATTGATTTTTAAAAAAACATTGAAATTTAGATTAATAATAAAGATGAACATTATACCAATTACAAAATATGAAAAAGTCGTAACAATAAATACATAACTAGGAAGTTTAATAACAACATTTATTTGTATTTATTAGTATTTTTATTATAAATTAATTAATTAATAAGCCAATTATTCAAACTTTATAAAAACATTCTAGACACATAAGATATAAAGCGAACTAAACAACCTACGTACACAACAATCGAGTGTAGCTTGTTGGTTTCCAGTCCATCATTTGAAGCTTGAGACCCAAGATCGAATCCCATGGGTGAGGTTTTCTCCGGGTTTTCTAATTTTCTGGGTTTGGAACGGTTCGGGTCCGTCCCGAGTTTAAACAGGTCACCGGTTAAATCCGGTTTTGACTATATTTCCGGTCGGCTGCTCAACGGGACCGGACACATGGCCGGGTGACCGGGTTACGGGTCGAACCGGCTGGTCCGGTTTGGGTCTTACAACACAGCGCACAAGATGTTTTCTTATTATATAGATTTCCGTAGATACGTATGCAATATTTATGTATGCGTACCCGTATGGGTGGGTTACTTTGTATTTTTACCATTAAATTCCTTGGCTGAGATAAGATACTCCGTACGGAGTAACTCTAATCGGAGTTTATAATAATTTCTCGAGAAAGCTCTCTCTCCCATGGTGAGCCGAAAAATTAATTAATAAGTAATCATCTCATACAAAATGTGGATAAATAAATATCTGACAATCTCAGTCCGTCTCCCTGTCCTTCTCTCTGCACATACCACACTCCAAATTTTGTCTCTCTTTGTCCATCTCTGAACCATCACCAAACTAACACTCTCCTAAAACCCACAAAATGGACTCGCTTCCGCCCATTTTCCGGCAGCCGGAGACGCCGAAAGAGCCCATGGAGTTCCTCTCCCGTTCCTGGAGTCTCTCCGCCCATGAGATCTCCAAATCCATCTCCCCTGCCCAGGCCGCCGTCAAGAACTTCCTCGGCGAGCCTTCCAATGCCGCAATTCCGCCCGCCGGATACAGCAGAACCATATCGGAGGACATCGCCGGCGAATTTCTGGAAGCCGTCTCTGTTTCCGGCAACCCGTTTTGCTTCGCTTCTTCGGATACTTCTCAGCTTATCATGGAACGCATTATGTCTCAAGCTGTAAGTCCGAGGAAATGATTCACAAATTTAAGGATTAGTGTACTACGGAGTATGAGTCTAAGATTACCAAAATTGTTGTTTTATTCGGATTAATTTAGTGTTTTTTTTTCTGATTGGGAAACAGCAGGACTCGTCGCCGCGTACATCCGGGCGGCTCTCCCATAGCAGCGGTGGTCCGCTCGCCGACAGCTCGCCGGCGTCCCCTTCCGACAACATAGACGACCACAAGGTCTGTTGAAACATAACTCTGTTTGCATTTTTGTGTATACGATTTTAATGTGTTTATGGTTTTTTGTTGCAAATCAATAGCCATTTCTGGGTTGTGAATAGGACAAGGCTTTGTATGAATTGATGAATGAATTTATATAGGTTGATGTCATTCGTGTGTATGGTTTTTATTTATATAGTACCGATTTAGCGTAAGAAGAACAGAAGGTCCGAGAAACAGAGGGAGAAAACATGTCAGCTTCACAGGTTTCTCTTTAATGGATCAATAAATAAGAGTATCCCAGAAGGAGAGTAGTTACTATCATGATGGTGAATTAACTTGTCTTCATTCATTCTACATGGAAAAAAGTTCAGTCACATGTTACCCCCAAGATTCCCTCTTTTCCTTTAACAAATTTTGGTTTTTGAAATTTCTCATCTTATTTATGAAAAAATTATTTATTATACTCCACATTAGGTTCTGTAATGGAAATTTATTTATTTTTCGAATAATTTAATATCAAATATATTCTAATCTGAAATTTTGGTTTTTGAAATTTTGTAATCCGATTTACTTTTTATGGATTATTATTTTATTCAATAAGGGCACTGGTTAGGGGATTTCTGGGGCTTTGTTTGGTAAAGTATTTTTGAAGTGGAAATGTAAGTGACTGAGAGGTGATTATCATTTTATAGGTAATTTCTACATTTAATTTATTCCAAATAAAATAAAGTTAAAAATCTCTATAGAATTGCACATTTTAGGTAACACATAAATATAGTTCAGTAAACAAACACAATCCTCCATTTTGTTCATCTGCGAATTTGCGAACCTTAAGCTTGTGATGTTGTCTTGAAAAAATTATGAAAGCGTTTCTCGTATTACTTCTTTATATACTTATATAAGGTTTATTTTGTTTCTTCATCTCCACTTATTTGATAATAGAGTCACATGACTCAATTATAAAATGAGTGATAATCAAGAAGCCAAATAAGCCATATATAACAATAATTTTTTTTATCAGTTGTTATTAAGTGGGATACCATCAATAATATAGCATTGAATTCTTCCACCATTTTTTTTGAATATCTTCCACCAATTCTATTAAACACAGGAACAATAAGCATCTTATTTAGGACCTAAAAAAATAAAATAAAAAATAGGACTCACGACCCAATCAACACTCCCAACTTCAAATTAATTTACTTCAAAAAATACAGTTCATTCCCATTGTACGGAGTATTTTATAATAATAAAAGGTTTCATATAAACAAATGTGCAAATTTGAAAACTGGCTTGGGTCCCCAAATCATTCCTTCAGTCTATCTCTGCCCAGTCCCCACCAGATTGGCAGATTCCCCTAATTTCTTTTTGGATGGACCATAGTTTAAATAAATACAAAATTCCTCATTTCCTCCCTCCACAAGATATTAGCAGAGTTGTTTATTTAAAATTGACTCACAATGAAGTTGTAAAGTTAAATGTTCCTTGCTTACAATGAAAACTTCACTTATAAAACTAATGTACAAATTACTAAACCGCCAAAAATAAATTCAAATATTATAGGAGTACAATTTAAATTTCAAGATAAATGAATAAAATGGAATATTACAAAATCACTCTATGTAGTTCCCAAAATAGCAAATATTTGATGTGTGACACCCAACCTTGTGTCGTGGTGCAACTTTTAAAAATTTTTATACACCTTTTTTCTGTGGCAGTATTGCAGATTAAACATTCTGCCAATCAACAACCAGTACAGAAGCAGCGCGGCCCCACCAGCAGCCGTGAATGGCGGCTGCAAGACGGTGGGAAGGTGGTTCAAGGACAGGAGAGAAAAGAAGAAAGAGGAGACAAGAGCCCAAAATGCACAATTACATGCTGCCGTTTCGGTCGCTGGCGTGGCGGCAGCCGTTGCTGCCATGGCCGCAGCAGCGGCAGCTTCTTCATCTTCCGGGAGAAAGGATGAGCAAGCAGCCAAGACTAAAATGGCAGTAGCTTCGGCTGCCACCCTTGTGGCCGCTCAATGTGTGGAAGCTGCCGAATCAATGGGGGCCGAGAGGGAGCACCTCGCATCAGTGGTTAGCTCAGCAGTAAATGTCCGATCACCCGGAGATATCATGACACTCACAGCTGCAGCTGCTACTGGTACCCACTTTTTCCACGGCCAACAATTAAGTTACTGTCATGATTTATCGTTTTAATATGCAACATAGACTATAGGTCTTGACAATTGTTTGAATTGTTACACGGTGCTACATTAAGAAAAGGGCAGATCGTTACACCTTGGCATCCCCGGGGCAGGGGTCCCACCACAATAGTGTATAAGGAAGAGCTTTCCCTCGTCATTTTGACAAAAGGTTGCTCTCAAGACTTGAACTTGTGACCTCTCGTTCACAAGCAACACCGTGAACGGTGCCCCAAAGCTCCCCTTCACGGTGATACCGTGCTAGATTTAACAGAATACTTTAAATTATTATTATCATAATTATTTTTGAAATAATTATATGAACTTAAATTAGTGAGCAATTGGTTTTGACACTAACACAGTGACATAAACTTTGAAGCATTGAGAGGGGCAGCAACATTAAGGGCAAGGGCATATAAGGATGTGTGGAATGTGGCTGCAGTGACTCCAGTAGAGAAAGGATATGGGGGGAATGGGAGCTCTTCAAGTAGTGGTGAGCTCATAATTGGCCCCTCTGAAGACAACTTTCTTGGGATCTGTAGCAGGGAAATGCTTTCCAGAGGTGGTGAGCTCCTAAAGCGCACAAGAAAAGGTATCATCCACAGGTCACATTCTCTTATACAGTACATATTTTTGGTCAAAAGTGACTTGACAAATTTTCTTGGGATCAGTCCACTGATCATTGATTTGGAAAGTACTTTAATTTATTTATTGTAATGTTGTACATCATCTTTAGAAAATTTTCCATTTTTGGTCCCCACAACAATAGAGTGATTCTCAGCTTTCATCACTGACTTTTATTTTTTAGTTTTGTTCATTACTATGGATTTCACCATACTTTATGTCAACACAATATCTGGTCCATTTGTGTTGTGAATAATTAACTAGGATGAGCCAATAAGGGCAAGGAGCTAAGAAATCCCTAAATGATTGTGCACTAAACGTGGAAAAATGAGAGTTCATGATTAAAAGTGAGAAAAATTGTTGAAAATTAAACTTGTCGTGGAGGCTAAAGTAGAATTACCATTTTTACTTTTTTTACCGCTTTAAATCAATCTCAAAAGAATGTCCTTAGGAATATTAAAAAGAGAGATCAAAAGACGCTCTCCATTATCCATCAATTAACTATAGTTGTGGAGGCTAAAGTAGGATTTTTTTACCATTTTTAGTTGGTCTTGTACAAATACTGGGCACTTGTCTAATATAAGTTTAAAAGGTTTGCATTCTTTAAAGCATATTGGTCTGATTGCAGGTGAACTCCACTGGAAGATAGTGTCTTTGTACATCAATGGAATGGGCCAGGTAGGCTTGCTCTTGGGGTTACTTTATAAAGCTTTATGTTTGGAATTCACGAAAAAGGGAATTTAATAAACCATATGAATGAATAAAGTTCTGATTGGTTCTAGACAATGGACTTTGCTTTCATTGTTTGGTTGGAATATAACTTTTGGCAGTCACAGGTAACATTGAAGATGAAGAGCAGACATGCTGCTGGGACCATCACCAAAAAGAAAAAGAGTAAGTTTTTTTATTCGAAAGAATGTTTTTTTAATCCAAAGTAAAATATAATTGAAAATAAGAAATCAAGAGTGTTGCTTTTCCCTCTGTCATGATGTGAACACAATTGGATGTTTGAGTCTTACCTTGGGATCTGATAGAATGAGTACACAATTGAGTGGGATAAAAAGATGAAAAAGGTGTCATCTTCATTATTAATTTTTATTCTTTTTTTGACATTTTGTTGAATTTTGTATGTGCAGATGTGGTCCTGGATGTGTTGACAGATGTTCCCGCTTGGCCGGGGAGGCACCTAATAGAAGGCGGCCAGAATTTCCGTTACTTCGGGCTGAAGACCATCTCGAGGGGAGTCGTGGAATTCGAATGCAGAGATGAAGGGGAATATGAGGTGTGGACTCAAGGTGTTTCAAGACTTCTGACTTATGCAGCTGAAAGGAGGTCCAAAGGACATAGGAGATACTAAATATTGGCAATCTTGAATCCACTACCTTGGCCCATTTTGCACCCTTAGACGCTGTGGGGCCCATGGTTACTGGCCATTCAAACAAGTCTGCTGGAGGCTATGCTTAGTTAATGTGATGATGCTAGTTTTTTTGCCACTAACCTCTTGTATTTTGGAATTAGGGAGGGTGTTTCTTTTGAACTCATGCAGCTAGTTTCCCTTTTTCTCTTTCAGTGCCCAAGTGTGTTTTGTAAATCTAATTTACCTGAAATTCTGAAAAGGGGTTCATATTGATACTAGTCATTGTTGTCTTCAATATTTGACATGTCAATTGTCAAAGTGTAACACAAGCAAATTAAGAAAACCAAGTGAACACAGCAGGCAGCACATTGTTATGGGACCTCCTTCGAAGCGGCCTGATAAAGGAATCTGATTATTAATCCTTTCTCCGGATCCTTTAGATCTTAATTAGCTCCTCTCCCGTAGTCCCGTGACTGGATTTTTCCAGCAGGAGAGTGAGAGATAGAGTATTGTGGGATAGGGAAAATAAAAAACTGGGGTTTGGATTAGTGATTGCAAGAGAGAATTGACTAAAAATAAATGGAGAGAAGTGGAGAGAAGGATATGGAGAGAGAGAGAGGTACATGACTCCCCAGTATTGGTACAATGCTGCTTCCATTATTTTAAAGTAGAATATCATTAGTATGTTGTTAAGATAGTCGATTTCGGCGTAGAATAGAACGATTTTGAGAGGAGAAGGAAATTAAGAGTATGATTCCCCAAAAATATGAGCTCTCACAATTTCAGCAAATGATCGATCCCACTACCATGGTGGCTCCGCCGTTCTCTTCCTGACCAACAAGAAGATGATCATGACAATGAAATCATTTGCATTAGTTCTCAACAATTCCTCACACATCCATATTCATCTGAAGACGGCTTTGCTATTCAAAGGTGTTCTTCCGATTATGATATATCCTGAAGAGGAAATCAAAGTTTTTGTTGATCGGCACAAGTTTGCTTTGGTTGGATCTTTTTTACATGGTCATCCTAGTATGGCTATTTTACAGAATAGCTTTGAGCTTATTGGATTCAAAGGTAACTTTCATCTAGGACTCCATGTACAAAAACACGTATTAATTCGGTTTGAATCGGATGAGGATTATCAAAGGTGTTGGGCTCATTAATCGTGGAATACATTCAAGGGTTTCCTATGCGTGTCACGAAGTCGGCAGGAGACTTTCAACCGAATATTGAATCTCCAATAATGCCAGTGTGGATATCTTTGAAGCCAGTGTGAATCTCCTATTGACCTACATGACAAAAATGCTCTTTTTCTTATTGTCAATAAACCTTTGAAAATGGACAACGCCATAACACCCTATGAGACCTTTGGTTGTGCGGGCTTGTGTGGAACTAGACCTAACAAAAGAGATGCCATCTAAAGTCATGATTGTGGGGGATTCGTCATGTTTCATGCATGATGAAACCTAACAAAAATGAGGATCACCCACTATATTGTATTGCCTGTAATAGGTTGGGTCACACTGATAACAACTGTCCCAAAAATATAATAAGCAGAAGCACTAATGCAATAGCTCATGTGATTGCAAAACAAGTCTGGAATCCCAAAACTAAAGACAATACTAAAGACTAAGCTCCAAACAATAAAATCACTGGGAACAACAAAAGGTAAAGCTCCCATTGTTGGATTCACTGCCCCTAAAGTTGATATTGGGGCCATCACCTCTTTTCAAAGGAAGGTTTCAGGAGAGGTCCAATTGCACCAAAATACACAAGTTATAAAAGAAATTGTATTTGAAGATGAAGGTGACGGGAATCGAAGGAAGAAGGTTGAAAAGCAGTTTATACCACCCAACAATTGTTTCTTATGGAAGTTCCGGATTTGGTTCCCTCTCACCGATATGATCTTAACGAACCCTTTGATGACTCTACACCAAATTAAGGCTAGCTTGGAGTTTAATCCTTCGTTGCTAAATAAAGGACATGCTACTCATGGAGTCATGGAGACAGTCCACCTAATATTTCTTACAAGGTGGTTTGGCTTGAAGAGTTGGAGTACGTCCCTGCAAACAAAAGTAGCTATTATAGTTAAACAAAAGGAAGAACTGGAGGCTAAGTTACTAGTACACAAGATACTTTACCATGGAGGTTCTAACAAAAAGATCTTATGAGCGCATTTACCAATTTCTTTATGAATTTCCTATTTTGGGATAGTAGGGGCTGTGCTTCCTCCTGCCCAAGGCTTTCTAGTTTAGTTGGACAGTTAGTTTATTTCTATTTTTGAACATATGAATGATAATCATAAAAGGGAGGCTCTCAAGATGGAGTTAGGTTTCTCTAACTGTTTTTACACTCAAATAGAAAAAGTTAGTTGTTCTAGAAATCTTCTATGCTATTATTTCCCAGATTACTTGGAAGGAGCAGTTGGTTCATTGTTTTGTGACTTTTGAGTCTCTCTCATTTTGGCTTACTTCCATCTATGGCAAGTGCTCTGTACTTGAAAGGAGAGAGCTTTGAGGATTTTTCTCCCATTGGTACAAGAATAATCAGTCTCCCTGAGTTGAAGGAGGTGATTTTAATGTCATAGTAGCTTATGAGGAACATAAATGTTCATATATTCCCAGGGCCGGCCCTGACATGTATAAGGCCTTGTGCAAAAATGAATATGAGGCCCTAAAGTATAAAAAACTATATAAATACTTCCACCATTTTTAAATAGTAGTTTCCTTAGGTTTTTTGTGGGTTTAAAGAAAAAATAGTAGATGCAATATGGAGGTGTAAGCCTGTAAGGTAAATGAAAAAGTAGAAAAGATAATATATTAGGAAAAGTAAAGTAATGATAAAGTATGAAAAAGAAAGTAGTTACAAGCTCGTTCCAAATTGTACGAGGGCTTTGTACTAATTACTCTAACTCGGCCTCGTGAAATAAAGAAATAACCCAATTGTAATTAACAATTGCATTTTAATTACGTATAAATATTACTATTTAATGTTTTGTATCTAAAAAAGTAGGGATAAGGGTCAGATAGGGCCTCGAACTTGGAAAAAAATGTCAAATAAGGACATATTTAGGATGCTATGTCCGATTGACGCCATTTGGGGCGGTTCCCAGTGAAATTTTTTGATGAAATTTTTTGAGAATCTTATTCATTAAGTCTAGTTTACTCATATCAAATTTGAACTAACAATTCAATCGGGAAGGCATTCAAATGAATTCTTGAAGATAACTACTCTTTTAACTGCACAGTTATCTTCAAGAATTCATTTGAATGCCTTCCCGATTGAAGTTTTAGTTCAAATTTGATATGAGTAAACTAGACTTAATGAATAAGATTCTCAAAAAATTTCATCAAAAAATTCTATCGGGAACCGCCCCAAATGGGGTCGGCCGGACAGAGCATCCTAAATATGGCCTTATTTGACATTTTTTTTCAAGTTCGAGGCCTTATCTGACCCTTATCCCAAAAAAGTATTAAGATAGGAATTTTTAATCAAATAAATAAAGATTTATTATATTATATAAAATATATTTAAATTTTGGGCCTTCTGAAATCGAGAGGCCTTGTGCGGTAGCACTTCTTGCACGCCCTCATCTACGGCCCTGTATATTCCCAATTATGAATACATGGAAGATTTCAATATTTTGTAACTCACTATGATCGAGCTAATTGATTTGCCATGGACCGAGAGTCAGTTTACCCTGCCTGGGGTGAGAAGAAATGGCAGGGTTTGGAGACTGTCAGACCGAATTCTCATTAACTGAGCTTTGGGAAGCTATTTCGTCCTATTCCTAACCAACACCTTAATGAGTTTAATTCTGATCACAAAAAAATTATTTGTACCCACTATTGTACCCACTTCTGTACCCACCATGTCTGTGAGGAGTTTTTTTTGTCTGGGAATTTCGGTCATAGACAAAAATATGTCTATGAAGACATGGTGGGTACAATAGTGGGTACACGAAGAAGCTCCCTTCTGATCATACCCCTCTTTTATGAAGTGCAAGATCAATCATTTTCAGGACCTAAACCTTTTAGGTTGGAGAACGCGTGCACGTGTGCTAGGGTGGATTGTTGGGCCGCAGGGAGCCAGGGATGTAGTGTCAGTAGTTCTGTCAGTCTGCGGGTGCAATCGACGGTGACACTTTGTCTGTTCTATAAGGGAGCAAATATGTGCTACACTTTCAACGATTGCTTTTAATGTAGCGGTAAGCGATGTTTGTTTTCTCGCACTTAATAAAATACATGTAGCAGTAGTATATGATTTTAGTACAAGTATCGTCTTCACAAGGATGGAAAAGGTAAATTAAGTACTAATTAATTTGAGTGATTAAAAATGAATAAGTAAATGCGATTGTGCGAGATGGTTTTTTGGAATTAAGTGCGACGAATAAAAAGCTAAATTAAAAGGCCCTTTCAAATTATTGACAAAAGGGTAATTGATTACGGGACACTCAGATTTTGAGGCTTACCAGATTTAATAACATTAAAATTATTGAATTGAGCAACACTAATCAATACCACTATTCTGAAAATCGGTCTAGTAGGACCGATTAGTCGGTCTAGTCGGTCCTAACTGTAGAGGACTAATCGGCCCAGTAGCCAAAAAAATCGACCTAGTCGGCCTCCTAATAATAAGTGTTTTACTCCATAATATGTAACACTTACTCCCTCCGTCCCACTACCAATGTGACAAAAAGGAGTGACACCCAAACCAATAAAGAACGGTATGTGTGGTTGATATTGAATTGATAAGGTAAGAGCATCTCCAATGGGCTTCTTTTAACATAATAAAAAATTGCCACATCATCAATTTTGAAAGTGTGGTGGTATTTTTGTCTCCAATCCATTCTTTTATTAGGTCTTTGGAGCTGATCTGGATTCAACACTTTCAACTAGGGGTGGGCAAACGGGTACAGGAACTATGGGTCGGGCCAGGTAATACAGATTCGGGACGGGTTAAGGTCCGGTCCTAATTTTAGAAAATCCAAACGGTTCGGGGCGGGGCGGGTCCTTAAAAACTTAGGTACCGAACGGGTCTTAAAAATTGAAAAAATGGGTACCCGGACCGAACCGTTCTAAAATATTATTTTAATACTCTATTATATTTAATACGGAGTATAATATACTCATAACACCTGAACGCTCTTCATGTTCTTATGTCTAGATAATGACACTCAATTAAAGAAACTTGCCAATCAATTAAAAAGTGTTTCCAAGTTCATATAAACTCCTAAATATTTTCCACAATTCTTTAGTCCAAATGCATCAAGTTTCTTTCTTCAATATTCTTTTTGTAAATAAAGTCTGTTACTCAATGAAGTGTGCATATTCATTTAATAATCCTAAAATTTATTATACTTTGAAATTTAATAAGCTTTAAATTGTTTTCA